CGCCCGGGGGGCTGCTGGGGGGCCAACCCGCGTGTTTACCTGCCGCGGCTGAGCCCGAGATATTCAGACACAAATGTGGCCGATAATTCAAGATGAAATACAACGTGTATTACTCTTGAAAAGAGGAATTTTCTATCCTTTCCTCGGTAATTGAGGTCATTCAGCCAGTAGGGTTCACCTGGAGTCCATACTGTGATACACACGTAACTCAAAGCTATTTTATCTTTTGTGCTGATAGTCAAGATCTCGGCTATAACATTGACATCAAACTCTGTCTGGGCGAATGACTAAGAGTGGTGCAAAACGTAAACTTTTGACCCTCAACTTTTTGACCTGCAGTTGTAACGCCCTTAACCACAAAGATATACAAAAGCTATGCAGCTTCTTTTAGGAGTAAGAGACTCGCACTGTTTGTTTCAATAGTTCTGCCGTTTCCCCCAGCTTTCTAAGGGCTCTTTTTTTTTTTTTTCCTTTTTCCTTCTTCTTGCTGTTGAGAAATCGGATACTTTTGCATTTTTAATTATTGCCCTTTTTTTTTTCTTCCTTTTCTTTAATCTCGCAGCTTTGTAAAGTGCTGTTAAATCAGTTTGCACAGCCTTTCGGCAGCGTTGGAGGGAAGCCTGTTACTCAAAGGCGCTATATGGTTACAATTGCAGGTGAAATGCTGGGTAAGTTCTGGGCGTGAGGTTGGAAGGAACGTAGCGACGAGCGTTGGGGGAAAAGCTGCAGCTCTCTGCTGCGAGGGTCGTAGTCATTTCTCCTTGATTTAAACATAAAGAAACAACTCTAATTGTTTGCGAAGCCTTGTCTAGGCAAACGAGTTGACTGTGAACTTGGTCTAAAGCGAGCTCTGCTGGTGATTCCTAGGGTGTGCAGATTTATCTTTTCTGCATTTACTTAACCTGGCAGTGAACTGCACGGGCTGCCATTTGTTATCCAGAGACAGACTTCACCTCAAGCAAGGACTGTTCCACAAAATTGCAATAATTACCCAATAACCTTCATAGCAAATATTATTATTGAAAAGACATTTTTTGGGGGAGGGGATATAGGAAAGATTCCTTATGCGTGCTATAAGGCGAAATCCTTGCAAATTTTCCACGCTTTCTGTGTCAGATTTGATATTGTTTGTGCGTGTAGCCACAGGAACATGTGACTGCGATGGTCCATGAGTATTTGCCTTCCAGAGAGACATTAGTGAGGATGCTTTAATTTGAAAGGGATAATATTTTCAAAGGTGAACAGGCGGCTGTGGGAGCTGTGTTTTTGCGCTCTGGCTAGCAACTCTAGCAACAAATCGGGGAGATTTTTAAGGGCAGGAAAGAGAAAGAGCTAAGAGAGCAAAGCGACGTCTTAACTTGGCCAGGAGATTTACTTATGTCTGCATTTAATGCGTTAAATCTGTATTTGCGGGGAGGGAAAAGGCATTGCTCCAGTATGCAGGGTTTGAAATCGAAACCTCCTGATCCGCCCCTCATGATCTGTTCCATTCAATTTCCCATGGAGCAGATTGCAAACCCTTCTATTGTCACCCTTCCACAGATACTCACTTATTAAATGTAAGGAAATGGCAGAATAATAATTTCCCCGTAATGTTCTGCAATTAGGGCGTTTGCAGGGCTTAGACAAGGCTGCAGAGCTGTAATTTACGGATGACTTTCCATCGGATTGTTATACTTCTGGTTTAGAGAAAGTTATGCCTTGTGAAGTCACTAGTCACACACATTAAGAGACTTGCCTAATCTTTAATTGGCCTTACGCTTAGACGTGACACGCTGCACGCCGGTATTTCTTGACAAGGCTCAGGCAAACTATATTTCAACGAGCAGAACGCCACTCGCCATGCCTCAAGCCAAACAAACTCGCACGCATTCAGTCCCCCAAACACAGCAGAAAAATAATGCGTGCAGATAAGACCTCTCCCTGCATTCCCAGCGATTATTCTCCATGACATTTTCCCTCGGAAAACAATTAGGAGCTGGGAATATTTTGGTAGAGTTTGGCGGTCTCGGGGTTGTTTGAATTTCAGATTTCGAAGCGGATTGGAAAATCTGAATGCGTTTCTGGATTTGAATGGCTTCAAGTGTGCTGCTTAGGACAGGGCAGGGCCAGAAATATGGAGAAGTTGTCATTTCTAGCTAACTTTCTTTTGTTGTTAGAGGGTTTCTCGCAGTACGAGCGGGTTTACATGCTTGTGGGTTTGGGGATTTTTTTCTTTTCCGTGGTTCTTGAATCTCGGTACACTGCTTTATGTGGAATATGCTCCAGAAGCCACATGCAAAAATGTGAAAATACGTGATAGCGAACCTCTTCACTCTAAGACAATGAAAAATTACGATCCGCGACGATAGCCAGGTTCCTAAAATATCAGTCAAAGGGGTGAGCGTGTGTGTTTGTATATTCACCACCTAATTCGAATAACGCAGGGCTGTTGAGTATTGAGTAATCGCGAACGGTTTGCGTCTACTATCATCCCCGTCCATAAGCGAAGGCGTTTCCTTGGGAAAAGACCCGTATATAAATGAAGCCCAAACTTTTAAAGGATTTTCATGCCTTTGCCTCAAACTATAAAATTTTATGGCATATATAGTATAATATAATATAATACACGCCTATCACATACAACTTTCTGGTATTCCTATTGATGAAAATGTGACAGCTAGTGTGCTATAAAACCTCCAGCTGTTTATTACGGAAATGGTTTTCAAATGTGCATTTGGATATGCACTTTTAAAGCCTTTCCCGGTTTTTTAATATAAAGTATATGCATATGTGTTTGTTTAGTGTTCGTAGGAAGATACACAGACACAAAGGCTTCCGACCCCATTTATCTTATGGAGGGGCTTGACTCTAAATATTAAATATTTGTGAAACTGTGAGATCTTTTGAGCTGAGCCAACCTCATATACTACCGTTTCCTTAACGTTAAAGGCAAATATATTAAAAATAGGAATCAGTCAGCAATGCGCAGAGCTTGCAGAGGTACACAACAACCTTACCCTCCTGTTCCCCTCTGCCTTTCTCTCCTTTTTGCTCGCAGTAGCAGACAGTCTAAACAGCAATATTCAAACGGGATAGCACTGGCGAAATAAAACAAAGCCCATCTCCCAGCTCCCATCAAACCGCCCTGTTCTTTTACAAACCCGACTTTATGACACATGAAGGAAAACAATGTGATCTGCTGAATCCTTGCTACTCCAAACCTGAACAGAGGAAGAGATACGCACAGCTAGTTGGCAGATACATATAGATGTATTTATATATTTATGTGTATTTTTTTTTTTTTTGAGGCAATTCTCAAATCTCTTCCCTAGCCCCTGCCTAGTCCGCCTGCACCCCCCCCGAGATCACTCGCCTAAGTAACAGCTCTGAGGGTAAGGATCAGGCCTTAATGCTACCCAGAGAAAGACAGAGTTCCTTTCACCCTTTCATTCAAGTCCTGGAAATTCAAAGACTAAAGTTAAATCCGGCCATAAAGTTTATTGCTGAGTAATCACACTCTAGTGAGAACAGTCCACTTAAATAAAAAGAATGTTGAAGTAAACACACAGCTGGGGCCTACCCCACAATGGCAGCCAGCAATATAAGGCAGAGAGGGAGAGAGCAGAGCTAGGGGGATATTTACAATCTTCAATAAACCAAGCCCGTATTTCATAATTTGCAGCACTCTAATGACCTGTAGTCTCTTGTATTAATACTACAAGTTACAGTCAATTGGTTCGCTTTTAAAAAAAAAAAAAAAAAAGTCACAGGAACGTATATATGTATACACGCGTGCACACCCCTTGTATACATAAATTCGCTGATATTAGACACACATATGCATGTGCACGGCTTTATACAGGCATATATATTGATTTGTACATGCATGCACACACGCGCATAATTTAAATACATTCATATTTATGCAGTTACATATAGGATCTGGAAAAAGTTACAGCAACGTTATAAATGCTCATCCCCGAAACACACTACGCGCTTGCAGATGGACATATACACATAGCTAAAGCTTTCTGCACAACCCAGTGCAGAAAATAGGAATCTTAAGCGCTCCAGTACAGACTGTGCCATTTTAATACTAGCTCTGATGTGCAACATATTTCACCAATCCAAAGATTATTACCATATCAGCACGCCTCCAACTCTATCATGCCTACAGAAGACGCTGCCCAGATAATATCAAGCCTTATCTATTTTGTTCCCCCCTTTTTTTTAATCGCCTGCAGTAACTACTCTTTGCTAAACAAAACCTCTCCAAACTTGGAGAGCCTATTGGAGCAAAGGAAGTAATTATGTTCTGCGGTAGTCAAAGTGATTAAAGCTAGGCCCCAAAATCCATCTCTGCCAAAGTCGCTTATTGTGGTTTACTTTGATTTGATCGTTAAAATAGAGAGCTAGCTGCTGCGAGTGAAGGGATGGGGGGGGGATTTGCAGCGCAACCTGGATCATTAGTGGTTGATCCTGCCTCTCGGGCTCGGTGGGACCGTCCTGAAAAGACCCAGGCGGGCGGTTTTTTTTGAGAAAGAGAAAGAAAGAGAGAGGCGAGAGGCAGCGAGAGCAAGCGGGAGCCTCGGCTTTCCCCACTGTACAAATAAACTTTAAGGAACTTGTGCACAAAACTTACCTTTGACTTGCAAGGAGCCATTTTTCATACAGTATTGAGAACTTGTGGTTTGGATACTTCTGTCCCTAAACCTGACAATTTGAATGGCCAGGAGGCACACGTAGCCTGCAAAAGAGTCAAATGAAGTCCAGCGTCAGTGAGATTATATGTTATGTGGTATATAATGTTGGATGTCAACTCCCCAAAACCATAAAACTTACTTTAATGGCACCACGTGACTTTTTATAGCCAGTGAGCCTATCTGTCTGTGCTATGGATGATTTTACGATCTAATTCATAGACAAAACCCTATTCATTTGGCACCCAAATGTCATATAGCCGGAACTGGGGCTTATAAAGTTTACTGTTTTATAACTTTTAAGGGAAGGCATCAATGTAACCAGTCAGTAAATGTGCAAATCTTTAGTTGCTCTTAGAAGCTCAGAAGAGTTAACCATTCAAGCTCTGATGGGGTAAGTAACATTACGTTTATAGCAAACTAATTGTAGCGAAGAAAACCAAAAATCTGTAGAGGGTGAAAAGGGGGAATGTGGCTAGCGAGGATTACTAGTAGACGCAGAGGGCTCGGACGTGGCTGTCCTGCAAATATACTTAATGAAATCATAGCAGAAATCCTAGAGCGATGCAAACACGTCTTGGAGTTAGCAGCGTGTTTTAACAAAGCACATGGGTGGGTTGTTGTTTTTTTTTTTTTTTCTTCCAACCATCAGCAAACAGCTAACAGTTGATTCACCCACAAAGGGTGTTGATTGTGGTCCTGCGCTGCAGCTTTCCACCTAGCGAGAAACCATTAAGGAGGAACTTATGGTCAAACTTTCAATTAAAAATACTGGTAGCGGACAATCGCAGCATCTACCATTTCCAACGTGCAGCAGGAGCCAGGTAAAATATTATTACAAACGCTGCACGGGTTAATATTTTTTTTCAGAGGCAAATCAGGAAGCACAACTTCTTGCTTTGCACAGACCAGACCACGAAAACTTTACAATAGAAAGTTTATTTTTTTTTGTTGATTTCCAGTCAGGTTTTTTTTAAAAACAAATACAAAAAAAAAAAAAAAAAAAAAAAAGCTGATCACAGTTTGCTCAAACAGCCAGACTTTGACTATATTTGTAACTTTGTTCACAAAAAACATACATCACAGAAGCTGCGCTTAATAAGAGCCACTTCTAAGAGTTCGTGCAAAGAGTCATATACAAAGGCACAGCAAGGACATACTGCTTGGAATCACAGTTTTCGTCACAGATTCACTATTCACTACACGTAGGACAAGTTCAGTTGATTTCATCATTTCACCTCTACGACAGCATTAATTACACAGGAATTATATAGGTAGTTTGAATAAAAATATTTTTAACAGCTTGGAGCTATACAGACATTAACACTTGACCACACATGCACAGTTAAGCAGGTTGAGTGCAACACATAACATTTGTACTAAACCGGGGGAGGGTTTCTTTCTCTCTCTCTTTTTTTTTACCCTTCTTTTTTTTTTTTGTTCTTTTTTGTTCAGTTTTGTTTTAACAGTTACTTCAAGTAACACAGCTCGCTTCATATAAATAAGTTAAAACATCTATTATTTTTTCAAGACAAAGCCATTCAAGACAAAGAAATGTACGATAAAAGCAGATCTACTTATACACGCGAGAGAATGGTAATAAACAGGCTCATGATTAAAAGATGAATAAGGGCGACAAGAACGGGGTTTCTTCACAGAAGTAACACAAGGAAGTTTTAGAAAGTCAACTTAGTACTGACATGAGACGCAGGGTCAGCTAATACTGCTCAGTACTTTTAATTGATCAAACGCTTAGGGACGGAATGCCCCTCCTGCAGCTGCCATGCTCATACTTTTCAGCTTATTATCCTTTTTCCATTTCATTCTCCTGTTTTGGAACCAGATCTTTATTTGTCTCTCTGAGAGGCAAAGAGCATGTGCTATTTCAATCCTTCTTCTGCGGGTCAGGTATCTATTGAAGTGAAATTCCTTTTCCAGCTCCAAGGTCTGATAGCGGGTGTAAGCAGTCCGAGCCCTTTTCCCTTCTGGTCCCCCTATGTTGTCTGGAAGAGAAAAGTACATGATTTAGATCCCCCCCAGCCACTCGGAGCCTTCGTGTCTCGTTGCAGCTACCCGCGACCAGGACCGTTATTCTCAGTCCTGCTCGGTTTTGTTTCTGGTTTGGATAAACGCTCAACAAGTTTCCCCCTCCAGCCCCTTTTAGGAAAGGCTTGGGGGAGGGGGGTTTGGTGGTCTCGGTAAGTTTTCGCTTGGATTTGGGGGTCGATTTTTTAAATTTTTTCTTTCTTTGGGGGGGGAGGGG